TGGGGAAGGCCAGCAGAGAAAGAGACTCCAGTGGTCAGGGGCCATGTGCCCAGAGATGCAGCCGCCACACTGTGGGACTGACAAGCCTTCCTTGAAAGCTGGAAGGCAGGTGTAGGACAAATGGACAGAAGTGTTCTGCGCGTGGCAGTGGGAGCTCAACCTCAAGGGAGCTGGTTATCCTGAGTGTTTACCATACAAATCGGGCAGTGTGGGGGCCAGAAACATCTAGGGATAGAAATCCCTGGTAACAGCAGTCCCAGATTTAACTTCTACTGTGTCTGAAGGACTTAAAAAAAAAAAAAATCTCTCTTTCCTAAGATATAACACACATACCATAAAATTCACCCATGTGAGATGTACAGTTCAGAAATCTTCAATATATTGAGTTGTGCAACCCTCACCGTAATCTAAGTTTAGAACATTTTCATTATACCCAAAAGAAACCCTGCACCCATTAGCAGTCATTCCTTACCCCCAGCCTAGCCCTAGGTAATCAATAACCCACTTTCTATCTTTGTAGATCTGAACAACTCAACACACGGCAAAGGTTACAAATTTAGTCACTACTTCTATGTTATGCGGTTGGCAGCGATAAGGCCTAGTAATTAACTAGACCTAATAAGTCCCAGCTGTCACTCACCAGGTATGTCATCTTAGGTATGTTACACAGTCTCTCTGAGCCTCAGTGGCTTCATTTTTAAAACGGGATAACAATCATACTTATTTTATAAGGTTGCTATCAGGATTCAAGGACAAAATCAGAAGAATCTAGTAGAGAGTCTGGCCTATGGGAAGGGATCACAAATGCTTGTCATCATTGGTCTTGTACTAAAAGGCAAAGAGCACTGGAAGTGTTATGGGGCCTTGAGGAGATCTGGGCAGGCTTTGGGAGGAGTGTGTGTGTGTGTGTGTGTGTGTGTGTTGCAGAGGCTCAGACAACATAGGCCAAGTTGGGATGGTACATTCTAGGTACAAAGTGCCCATAAAAAAAGGATGCCTAGAGCACATATGGCAAAAAGCAAGCAGCAGCAGGTTAAGTGGTTGGCAGAAGCCAGCCAGGGACACATGGCTTGGGTAGGGAGACCCTGCTGAGCTTTGAGGGTGGCAGAGAGCTGGCCTTGAAAGAATTGGGGTCTGGGAGTGGTGCGGGCACTGACGTGCTTTAGGGAGCTCAAATGTAGCTGGGGCCGGGTGGGTGATGTGTGACACTCCAGGTGGGGGGCGGGCTGGTAGAAGGAGAGGCTGGAGAAGACCTATTGGGAGGGAGCCCAGGGACGTGAATAGGACAGGCGGCCATTCTCAGACTTCAGTGTCAGAATCACTGGGGAGCTTATCAAACATGCAGATTCCTGAGCCTACCCCAAAGGTTCTATGGGGGTAGACTCAGCAGATCTTTGGGAGCCCCCAGATTGTAATTTTAACCAGTGCTCCAGATGGAGGTGGCCCACGGACCACATCCTTTGAGAATTACTGGATTAGAAAGGTTGTAGAAATCAAATTCACACAGTCAGGCAATTGATGGTGTAGGGGAGGGGTGCAAAGGGGCCCCTGGGCCTGGCACTGGGTAACTAAGAATGGTGGGACCGCCAGGCAGATAGGGCTGGTCAGGGGCAAGGGGTCGGGAGGAAGAAGGCAGGTGAACACAGCGCAGGCAGACAGGCATCTGAGATGCAGGAGAGCGAGCAAGTCAAGAGCTCCTCTGTGGGTCGCACCCTGACTGGGCAGGATGGCAGAAGAAGTGGCCTTCAGTGCCTCCTGAGCTGCGTCCAGGCCTTGAAGGAGGGAGGATTTTGATCACGGGGAGATGGGTGTGGGCACTCTAGGCAGAAGAGACCTAACTAAGATTTGTAATCAGATGAGTTTTCCAGGCCAGTGTGGGAACTGGACAGGAAGGCTCTGGTGCCTCAGAATGGCCTGAATGCCGCACTAGGGAGTTTGGAGTTTATTTAGGCCAGAGGTGCAAGAGGTCTAGAAGGTTTGGGGTATACGTCACCCTCCCTGTTTAGGGCAGTATTAAAGAAGGTATGTAAGATTTGGGATGGAGTAAGAGCAATGACTTTAGGTCTCATTACTAGGCCCACTGAGGCACAGAGCTCCCATTTCATTTTTGATTTATTTATATTGGCAAGGAATGGGAGGCTGAGGGAAGGTTTGAAAAGGGGCAGGGGAGGCCATCCCCATGTTATGATCTCAGTGGAAAAGGCTGCTATGGGTAGATTCCGCTGCTGGGAGAGCCACAGAGATGGGCCCCATGAGTCACTGCTGAGTCCTGCAAACTCAGCCCTCAGAGCCTGCTGTGGTCAGCAGCCCAGGCTGACTCCAGGCCCAGCCCCCAGTGTTCCCCACTGGGCCTAAGTTTGTTCCCATTTCTATCTGTATCTTTGCCATCCTGGGGCTGTGCATCCTGCAGCTCTCCGCCTCTTTTGTGTCCCTTTCACACAGAGCCTCTGAATCTGTCTCCATTTGTGACTCTGGTTTACATCTGGCTCATGGATGGAGAGCCTCAGGAGGGCAGGGGTAATGTGACCAGCCTCAGGCATCCCCTAAGCATTTATTATTGCTGGGAGTACAGAAGTGGGCAACACATCGTCTCTGTTTTCATGAAGCTTACGAGGCACATTCTATGCGGAGTGCATAAACCAGGGCCTGGCCAGGGCCCTAATCTGTTTGCCTGTGCCCAGGGGTGCTGGGGTTAGCTATGGCCTGTGGCTTGAGGCCTCTTATTTGCCTCTGGCATGGAGGGGTATGTGTGCCTGCCAGCAGGTCCCTCCCAGCTCTTAGGGCTCCTTGGGGGGCCTGGCTGGTGGGTGGAGGTGGGCAGACAGTGGGCAGCAGAAGGGGTGGGAGGGAGCAGGAGGCAGTGACTCAGTGGGGCGGCCCTGGGATAGCTGGGGAGGGAGCCAAGGTTGGTCCTGATGCTCACTGCAGCCAGACGAGGGTGCGATGACAGGGCCAACTGAGGAGTTGGGGATGGAGCAGGAAAACTCCAAAACTCCTCTCTTGCAGCCAGGTCAGCTCATGAAGAAGGCTCCTTGGTGGCTGAGAGTCTGGACTCTGGGTGCTGATGGGACGCTGGGAGGAGGGAGGGTGGTTGTTGTTCCCACTATGCTTGCTTCTGATGCTCAGGTACCCTCCTCTGGCAGCCTCCTTGGGCTCAAGAAGGAAATTCCTGCTTCAGAGTCAGGAAAGCCAGTATACCCGGGAACCAAGGGCCTGAGCATGCTGTGGGGCACAGTGCCTTCTTTTAGCCACAGAGCTGGCCTTCTAACAGTTTTCCCACAAATTTTGCAGGGTGTTAGGGAATTGCCTCAAAGGGACCTCATACCTCAGAGCTAGGAATGATCTCACAGGTGAACTATCTAAGTGACTTTCACCAGCTGAGGATCCCTGACTGGGGGGGGGGTGAAGTGAGGGGCAGTGCTGGCAGCAGGTGGACATTTGACATATGCAGTCTTCCCTAGTCCTCATTACAATCCCAAGAGAAAGAAATGGCTTTTTTTTTTTTTTTTTTTTTTTTTTAAACAGGTGAGTAAGATGAAGCTCAAAGAGAACTGAGTTGCTGGCGCGCACTCCGCAGGTAAGTGGAGGAGCAGGCCTGGGTTAGTATCTCTGGCTCCAGGGCCAGACCTCAGTCTTAGCCTCGTTGGCTGGATTTGGAAGGAGGGGGTTTTGGCTGGGGAAGGAGTGTTTGAGACAGAAATGCCAGGAATATAAGGGAGTGGAGGATCTGGGCCTGGTGAATTGGTGGATTCTGACAGGCCTGGGTTAGCTCCCACCGCAGAGGCGGCTGTCCCCCCTCCCTCTCTCAAGTCCTCTTCCCATCTTGGCATCACACAACTTGTTTCTTGGTGACTGGGCCTCGGGCCCGGAAGGAAGATGGCGTTGCAGTGGAGGAGCCCCTCCGGTCCGGCCTCCATGAAGATACCTATACTGGCTCCCAGCAGCCCCACGCTGCTGATCTGGGCTTAGAGAGTGTGGACTTGGGGACTCTGGACCCACCTTTTCTTCTCCTGGCTGAGAGAAATGAGTGCTCTTTGCTTTGCTTAGGGAGGCTGGGGCGGGATCACCCCCATACTGTGTGCATTCAAGAACAGAAGCCCTCCCCTCACCTCGCAAGCCTTTCCCTCCCCCTCACCCCCAGGAGGACCCACATGCTCACTCACCTGTGCACTACACCGCTTTTTGGGTAGTGGGCATGGTGGAACGGCCGTTGGTCGTTGCTACTACCAGACTGAGAAGCTGAGTCTAAGTCGGCGGGGCTCTGGGGTGCGGGTAGGGCCGAGCTCTTCTGGCCCGCGGCGGAAGAAGGGTTAGCGGGCGGCGGGCGCTGCCAGGGCCGCCCGGGAATCCGCCGTCGGGCCTAGCACGGTGGGCTGTGGCTCCGTCCTCCAGCCCCCAGGGGGCGGCGCGGCGCCGCGACCCCGGACGCTCTGCGTTCCCTCCCCCGCGGCCAGGAGGCGGCGCCCGCGGACGCCAGCGGCGCACTATTACGCGCCGTCGAGGCTCAGCTGCGGTACGTTGGAGGGTTCCGGTTGCGCCGCCACCCCTGTGTCCCTGATCCCCGTGTCGCGCCCTGGGGGTGTGAGTGCGGCGGGCGGACGGGCGAGGGGGCAGGCGCGCGAGTCCCCGGCGGAGGCTAGGGTCCCACTGCGCCGGCGGGTGCGAGCACGAGGCAGCGCTCCCAGCATAGGACTGCAAAGCCTCAAGAGTGCGCTTCCGAGGGTGGGAGCCACGTGAGCGTGGACGGGCAGCGCCCTGACGGAAGGGAGACGCCTGCCCTTCTTCCCTCTCCTCAGGTCTGAACAGCGGCAGCGTCTGCGCCTCCTGTTCCCCGCACCCAAGATGGCACCTCCTACGGCCTAGTGCCTTCTGCTTTATCCGCCGAGTGCTTCCCGACCGTTTTCAACCCTTTTTCTGGGTGAGCTGAGGCCTCAGTTCACACGGAGGCCCCGGCCCCTCTCCCGCTTGCCATGAGCAGGCCCACCGTTAAGGAATGGGTGATGGAAGGGCCCCTGGAGTGTGGGGATGAGTCTCCAGACTCCCAGGGCCACACCACCGACTGGCGGTTTGCCGTGTGCAGTTTCAAGGATGCCTGGGACGAGGAGGAACCTGTTCCCCACATGCAGGTTAAGGACCCCAATCCTCAAAGACCACCAGCAGGGGAAGCCCAGGGTGAAGGGCTACAGGGCAGCCTCCTGCCTGGGGAAGCTCGATCCACCCCAGGACAGATGTCTGTAGATGGGTCAGGGGATAGCCCAAGGGGCACATTAGGAGATTCTTCAGGCAAGTCAGAGGAACCAGTCCCCTCTGAAGTGGAGAGCCTCCTATGCCCAATGTCCTCCTACCTCAGCCTGGCACAAGGCAAGAGTGCCAGCCAAGGGGAAAGCTTGGCAGGAGACTCAGATCCAGGTAGAATGCCAGCTAGCTTGGAAACTGGGGGGTTGGACAGCGACTCTGTGGACCCTGGAAGCCCTTTATCTGAAACACCGTCACAGCTGCTGGAGGCAGGTAAGGGAGACTGGGCAGAGGTGTCTTGGGTTGGAAGGAAGGGGGAGTGCCTGGAGGGGGGTGCCCAGATTTGGGCAGGGCTCTGACCCTATTTAGGCTGAAGTGCAGGCTGAGGTGAAGAAGGGATCTCTGAGTGGGCCAGTGCAGACCCAAGCCATTTCCCTTCCTAAGACTCCAGCGGATCCAGACTCCCTAAGCCTGCTGACTACCTCTTGGCCCAAGACATCGCCTGGGAGCTGCTGGCCAGTGGCATGGCTGCCCTGCCAGGTAGCAGGAGGGACTAGAGGTTATGGAGGTAAGGTGACTTGATTGGGCAGGTGTTTACTGCCCTGTCCCCACAGGGACTCGGGATGTGGAAGGCCGGGCAGTGCTGCTCCTGTGTGCCCATAGTCACACCTGGCTTCATCCCAAGTGCAGCAGCCACGAACTCCTCCGTCTCCTGCTCTACTTGCGAAGCATCCCCAGGTTTGGGGGAGGTTGGGAGACAGAGCCTGCGCCACAAGATGGAAAGGCCTGGCAATTAGATAGTGAATGAAGTCTGTTCCTTTAGGCTTGAAGTACAAGCTCTGGGACTGACTGTGCTAGTGGACGCCCGAATTTGTGCCCCCAGCTCTTCCCTCTTCTGGGGGCTCAGCCAACTGCAAGTGAGTACAGGATTGTAGCTCCCCACCCCCAACCACTTCATCTGTGTAGGGTTGGGGGCAGGGCTGAGCTCAGATTCCTTTCAGGAAGCGGCCCCAGGGTCTGTGCACCAGGTGCTGCTGGTGGGAAAAATGCCAGAGGAGGTGCCTTCAGGGCTGCAGGTACTGAGCCAGGTTGGCTAAGCGTGGCGGTGGGGCACTTCCTCACCAGGCCTGGGTCACAGCACTTTTTTTTTCCTGCAGCTAGAGCAGTTGTCCTCTCATCAGAGCCTGCTGACCCACATCTCCACGTCATCGTTACCTGCTTCACTGGGAGGAGGCCTGCCTTACTGCCATCAGGCCTGGCTGGATTTCCGGATGGTCAGTGCACTGGGTAGGGCATAGGGTGGGTCTGTGGCAGCCTGGAACCCAGGATGGCTGGGACCTGCACTGTGCACCACTCTGTCATGCCTACCTCTACTCAGCGTCTGGAAGCCCTACTGCAGAGCTGCCAGGTGGTTTGTACCCTGCTTCACGGGGCCATTGAGAACTTGAAGGCAATGCCGCAGCCCATGGAGACTGAGGTGAGTGTGCCCTCCTGACTTCTCTCCAGATGCTCCTTATCCCTTTTTCTCCCATGCTCACCTCTACTACCTGTTGTCTTTAATCAGGAAGTTGGTCAGCTGCTACAGCAGGCTCGGGTCCTGATGCAGCACGTGCTAGACTCACCACAGCGGGCATGGTTGCAATGCCAGGGGAGCTTGGAGCTGGCATGGCTGAAGCAGGAGGACCCAGAGGTGACCCGGAGCCCAGATTACAGGTAGGTACAAGCCCACCTTCCACCAGCGCACCATATCCCATGCCAAGGACTCAGCTGGCTGGCTCAGAGCCAGCCAGGATTGTGGTCCCAGGATAGGGTGGAGTGGAACAAGGCAACTGGCATGGGCGCTAAGATCGTGGACCCTACACCAGGCCAGCAGTGGACAAGGTTGATGAGCTCTATGGCTGCGTGGATGGGCTGCTGCACCAATTGACCCTGCAGGGTAACCGTCGAGTACAGGCACTCGAGTTGGTCCAGACACTTCTGAAGGCAGAGGAGAGTGGCCTGCACCAGGTGGGAACTACACACCCAGATGTGCCCTGCCCCAATCTTAAGCATGAGCACCCAACCCACAGCACCTGTCCCTTCCCTGTTTGTGCCCCTCCAGATTGAAGTGTGGCTACAGCAGGTGGGCTGGCCAGCATTGGAAGAGCCAAGGGAACCCTCACTGGACATGCTGCTTCAGGCCCAAGGCCCTTTTCGGGAGCTGGACCGGGTTGCCCAGGTGAGTTTGGCCGCTTCTTCATTGTGTAGGTATTGGGGCACTTTGCCAGGGAATGCAGGGTGGGTGAAGGCAAATCTGTCCTTTGCTCTCTTGGGATTTACAATCCAGCAGAGAAGTTGTAATTAAAGGTTTAAAGTCATGTTTGTGTTTGCAAACTGAGGCAGAAAGTTCTGGAGAGAAGCAATGCAGGTGGTTCTACCAGAGTATATAATAAAGACCTAACCCAGAAGGGGTGTTGGGCAAGCTTCCCTGAGGTAGTGACTTTTGAGCTGAGATCTGAAGGATAGGTTGGGATCAACCAGGCAGAAGAAGGTTGGAGATAAGAGACATTCCAGGCTGAGTGAACAATCAGCCTGTGCAAGGGTCCTGTGGCAGGAGGGAGCATGACTTGCCTGAGGGACCGTAGGGACGACAGTGAGGTTGAAATGCAGAGCAGAAGGAGGGAGAGTAGGGTGAGCTGGGGTTAAACAAGGCTAGAAAAGTGGTCGGTGGCCAGGTCACTGGGCCCTGTAATGGTGTACAGTTTAAGCAGGAAAGGTCATGTTCAGATCTGTGTTGTAGGAAGATTACCCTAGTTTCTGGGTAGATGATGATTTGGAGAATGGATGTGGAGAGTCCACTGAAGAGGCAATTACTGCGCTGGCCAGTGTGGCTCAGTTGGTTGGGCATCGTCCCATAAACCGAAAGGCTGTGGGTTTGATTTCCAGTCAGAGCACATGCCTAGGTAGCAGGTTTGGTATCCCGTTGGGGCATGTACAAGAGGTAGCCGATCCATGTTTCTCTCTCACATCGATGTTTCCTTCCTTCTCTCTCTCTCTCCCTTCTGTATGTTGGGTGAGGATTAAAGAAAGAGACAATTGCAGTGGTTCAGGTGGGAAATGGTGCTTTGGCTAGGATGATAGCGGAAGAGTTGGATTTGAGAAATTGATGGTATTTGATGTTGGGCACATACAAGAGCGTAGGAGGGAGAAGGCTGTTGTAAGAGTGAATGGGTTCTGTTCCCTGAGAGAGGCACCAGGAGACAAGAACTTTCTGGGGGAAGGGCATTCATGAATCCATTGTTGGATGTGCTTCAGAGATGACTGGGGGAATGAGAGGAAGACCCATTGGGATTGGGCCTGTCATTCAGGGGAGACATCTGGCAGTAAAAGATCACTTGGCGGATATGGATATGTGGGTGACATTTGAAGTGTGATCACACAAGATTGCCTGGGGAGATAGGGTGGACAGACTTCAGGAGCCTCAGTGTTCAATGGCTTGGGTAAGGGTCTGGGAGTAGGAGGAGGAACCACCAGAGAAGAATAAGGAGAGTCAGGAAAGCAGGGCGGGGTCGGGAGCCAGGAGAGAGATGCTGAATGTTGCTGAGCTGTGGAGTCAGAAGAGTTCTGAGACTTGCTGGGAGGTGGGCCGAGTGGGATCGGAGGGGGCTGATGAGGCGAAGTGATGGTGATGGTGAGGACAGACAATTCCTCCAGGGAGATCTGGCTGTGGGGAGGGGCTGAGAGAGAGAAGGAAATGTAGGAGGGGGCTGGAGGGAGGGTCTTTAATTCAGGAGAGACTTGACAATGATGTGTAGATGTCAGTGGAGGAGACCTGGGCCTGGGGGGCTGGACCACCAGATTTGGCCACTGAGCCTAGTCTCTGTTTCCAGGAGCAGGTCAGGCGAGGGGAAAAGTTTCTGCAGCCACTGGCTGGCTGGGGAGCAGCTGAACTGGGACCCCTTGGGACCCGATTTCTGGCCCTGCAAGACCGGCTGACTGAATTCTCTAAGGCTTTGGCCCAGCGGCGGCGACGACTGGCAGATGCTGAGAAGCTGTCGTGTTTTTTCAAGCAGGTGTGTGAGGGGTCCTGTCCCGGGCCCCAGGGGGTCAGTAGGGCCAGAGGGGTAGCTGCCCAGCTTCTCCACGGCCTGGGCTCTTCCTGGTCATTCTGCGTGTTCTCACTTCTTCAGTCTGAGCCCCAGATCCAGCCACTGGGGATGTGGCCTGGGGCCAGCACCCTGTGGGGATGGAGACTGGGAAGAAGGCTTGATCGTCTTGGTGGGCTCCCCCTTCAGTGCCCGTGTGGCCTTGATGTTGCAGGCCTCGACATGGGCTGAGGAAGGGCAGCGGGTGTTGGCAGAGTTGGAGCAGGAGAGCCCAGGGGTTGTGCTGCAACGGCTGCAGCTGCATTGGACCAAGCACCCTGACTTGCCTCCTGCCCACTTCCGAAAGATGTGGGCTCTGGCCACGGGGCTGGGCTCCGAAAGCATCCGCCAAGAGTGTCGCTGGGCCTGGGCACAGTGCCAGGACACCTGGCTCGCCCTGGACCAGAAGCTAGAGGCTGCAGTGAAGCCACCACCGGCGGGCAGCACGGCTAGCCTCTGTGTCAGCCGGGTCCCAGCTGCGCCTGCAGTGCCCCCTCTGCGGAAGGCATACAGCCTTGATCGAAATCTGGGGCAGAGTCTCAGAGAGTCTGTCCACCACTGCCACCATGCGGCCACGGTGGCTGCCTGCCATAGACCAGAGATTGGATATGGTGCCCAACCAGGGTCATCCCCCACCATGCCTCTGCCAGGCAGCTCTGACCCCAGGAGTCCCAACAGGTACAGTCACTGGGCTGGGCAGGGCAGGGAGGGAAGTGTCAGGGCAGATGTCTAGGGTCCTGACTCCACCTACCTGGTAGGCTCCAGCTGGTGCTGGCAGAGATGGTGGCTACAGAGCGGGAGTATGTCCGTGCCCTTGACTATACCATAGAGAATTACTTTCCCGAGCTGGATCGCCCTGATGTGCCCCAGGGCCTCCGTGGCCAGCGTGCCCACCTCTTCGGCAACTTGGAGAAGCTGCGCGACTTCCACTGCCATTTCTTCTTGCGTGAGCTGGAAGCCTGCACGCGGCACCCACCCCGGGTGGCCTATGCCTTCCTGCGCCATGTAAGCCCCCGGGCCACATGGCCCCGCTGGTTCTGCTACACTCAGCAAAGCTGTTGGGCACATGTTTGGGGGTAGGCCTTGTGCTGGTTACAGCTATGAATGAGACTAATAGGGCCCTGCCCCTCAGGATGCTCATAATTAAGGAGACATAAAAGTGAAAAAGATAATTCTAGGTTGTACAATAGTTGGGGCTAGGAGGAAAATAATCAGGATATAGAAATGACTGTGAGTTACCAGCGGGGCAAGGGTTCCCCCTCTAGAGAGAACAGTTAGGTCTTTGAGTAGCTGATGATTGAGCTGAGGCCAGAGAGAGGGGATGGAGCCAGAGGTCCCATCAGAGGAAAGAGCAAGTGGCAGGAAAGAGGCCCCGTGGTGAAGGAAGAGACAGGCCAAGGCGCAGTGAGAAGAGGCGTAGTCCAAGGTGAGGTGAGACCAGAGAGTGTTCTCAGAGCTGTGAGAGGAGCAGAGCTGGGCACAGGCCTGCTTCACCAGAAGGCCTGTGGGTGAGCTCTTTCTGCACAGATCACCCCTCATTCAAAGCCGGGCAGATTGGATCTGTAGGGGGAGGCCTTCCAGGGAGCCACCTGTTGGCATTTTGGTGCTCTCAAGCTGAGAGGGGTCCGGCCCCTTTGCACCTGGGGCTGAGCTACATGTCCTTGCAGAGGGTGCAGTTTGGGATGTATGCGCTGTACAGCAAAAATAAACCTCGTTCCGACGCCCTGATGACCAGCTATGGTCACACCTTCTTCAGGGTAGGTGAGCCTGAGTCTGTAGGGGGAAGGGGGCTGGCGGGAGTACCCTGAGGCTGCCTGATGGTCTCCTGCCCACCTGCCAGGACAAGCAGCGAGCGCTGGGGGACCACCTGGACTTGGCCTCCTACCTGCTAAAGCCCATCCAGCGCATGAGCAAATATGCACTGCTGCTCCAGGAGCTGGCACGGGCCTGCAGGGGCGCCGTGCAGGAGCTGAGTGCCCTGCAGGCCGCCCAGAGCCTGGTGCACTTCCAGCTGCGACATGGCAATGACCTGCTTGCCATGGATGCCATCCAGGGCTGTGACGTGAGTTATACCAAGTCATGGTGGGCAGGTTCAGTGGGTGTCAGGGAGGGGGGCAGAAGAGGCTGGGCACCCACTGGACCCCAACTTGCCAGGTGAACCTCAAGGAACAAGGGCAGCTGGTGCGACAAGATGAGTTCACAGTGCGCACTGGGCGCCGCAAGTCCCTGCGCCGCGTTTTCCTCTTTGAGGAACTGCTGCTCTTCAGCAAGCCTCGCCGAGGACCCACAGGCATCGACACATTTGCCTACAAGCGCTCCTTCAAGGTAGGCCCACCCGATTCTGCCCTGTGCCACCCTGCTTCCCAGTGCCTCACCGCATTCCTCTCCTGGTCATGCAGATGGCCGACCTTGGCCTCACTGAGTGCTGTGGGGATAGCAACCTGCGCTTTGAGATCTGGTTCCGCCGTCGCAAGGCCAGGGATACCTTTGTGCTGCAAGCTGCCAGCTTGGCCACCAAGCAAGCTTGGACAGCTGACATCTCCCACCTGCTTTGGAAGCAGGCTGTCCACAACAAGGGTAGGTCCCTGCCCCTACTTCACCACGGAGAGCTTATGTTGTCCCACAGGGGCTCAGGGAGAGCCTAGGGACTCGGAAATGCTTGGGAAGTGGGAAGGAGGTCCAGCAGCAGCAGCAGCCAGTGCAGGGGAAAGAACCTCTATCTACGTTAGCAGTCCTGCTATCACTGTCTCTGAGCACGGACACAATGTTAACCTCTCTGAGTTTCAGAGGGCTTACCTATAAAAAGGGGATTACACCTGACCACAGGATTGTTGGGAAGAGAGAGTGCGGTACCACAAAGATTTAGAGCACAGGATGGCTTACCTACTGGGTATGGGTGTCGAGGAAAGACTTAAGGGGGAGAAATAGATAGAAGCTGAGGGCCAGGCTGATGTCACAAAGGGCCTCAGCCATGCCCCCTCTTCACCCAGAGGTGCGCATGGCTGAGATGGTGTCCATGGGTGTGGGGAACAAAGCCTTCCGGGACATCGCCCCTAACAAGGAAGCTATCAACGACCGCACCATCAACTACGTTTTAAAGTACCGAGGTAGCCTAACGGGGTGCGGGTGAGGAAAGCTGTGTGGGAGGCAACGTGGACCTCTGTCAGCCCCAGTCTTCGCTTTCCTCAGGACCTTGGCCCAGGTGGGCTCTCACCTGTCCCAACCTGACCTCTCTTATACAGAAGTTCGTTCTCGGGCCTCCATTGCTGTGGCCCCATTTGAATATGACAACCCCTACCTGGGGACTTCGAGCTCCCTTCCTGCAGACCCTGCCTCCTGCTCTGTACTGGGGTCCCTGAACCTGCACCTGTACAGAGACCCAGCTCTTCAGGGCCTCCGTTGGCCCCTGTATTCTGCCAGCTTCCCAGAGGAGCCAGCGCTGGAGGCTGAAGTAGAGCTGGGCAGCCAGCCATTCTTGAGTAGGTCTGGGCTAAGCCAGGGGCAGGAGGGCATGACTTGGGGTCCGGGCCATCTCTACGGACAGCTCACCCATTTCTCTCCCTAGCCCCTGAGGACTCAGAGGTCTCGTCCCAGTGCCCGTCAGCTAGTGGCTCCAGTGGCTCTGATAGCAGCTGTGTGTCAGGGCAGGCCCTGGGCAGGGTCCTTGAAGACTTGTCCTATGTGAGTCCCATTTTGCTTCATATTCTCTAGCCTCTCCCCAGCCCTTTCTGGGTCTAAGGCTGACTTCTTTCAGATGGAGGTGGGGGTGGGTGCGCCCGAACCATTCCCCAGAGACCCCACCCGGACCCTGAGCTGGGGAAATAGGCATTCATGTCTAACTTGGCACCACAGGTCTGAGCTCAGGCTCGAAGGTGAGCAGTGGATCCAGCAGCCTGTAGCTCCAAGGAACATAACCTTTCTGGATCTACTATGACCAGGGCTTAGCTGGCACCTGGGCCACTTCCAGCGTACACGCACTGCCCTATTGGGTACCCTCTCTGATGTCTATGTTCATTGGACAGACTGGCAGGGGCCTCTCCAGGGGAATCTACTGCAGAACCAGAAGGAGCAACCCTGATCCTGGGCTCCTGGTCCCATGTCCCTTCCTTCTGTCGTCTTCTCCAGCTCCCACCCCAGAGCAGAGGCCGGGTGTTCCCATGCTGTAGGCTGGTGGGGCACTCAGTAGAACTAGGCAGGGACTGGGCTGCCCCACTCCTCAGGAGGAGCGCAGGCGAGGTCCTAGCAGCTGCTTCCCCAGCCCTGGCCTCAAAGGCAAGCCCACTCTGTTGGGCGTTCACTCTTGCCTGTCCTGGCTCCCCAGGCCCAGCCCCTTCTTACCTGGGTCAGGTTGGTTATATTGACTCAATGCCTTTTGAATAGCTTTCAGTTAGATTTGTTTTCTAAGATTATTTCACTGGTTATGTGGTTTTCCGCATCTCAGAGAGGAAGTCTAGGCCTTTGATTTGTGATTTGCTTTTTTATTTGTTTACAATAAAAAAATAGACTGATGCACACCCTCGGATGGGCACATGCATTCTGGGTACATTCTTGGTTCAAATGAGTCTTGGAAGTTTGGGATATGTGGGGACAGCATCTCTGATCACCCTAACCGTCTTGTAAGTACTTGCCGAGAACAGAGTAAGAGACAGACTTAGACAGGCCCCTCTGGATGAGCAGGTCAACGCAGGAGCCATATTTCTTGGCGAAAGGCAGTGTCAGCTGGAAGGAAAAGCCAGTCTTATCCCTGATTTCCAGGCCGGTCATCTACTCTGTGTGGGCAGGGTTCTCCCGGCTGGGCAGGCGCAGGGACAGGATAAGGCCAGTTGTTGGGAGACTGATACTTTGGGCTCAGTTCTACGCAAGGGTATCTTACGGGCTGTGGCTAAGAGTGGCTTCCAGGGAACTGAGCAGATGCCCAAAGGATCGGACATGTATGTTTCCTGCCACTGTTTTTCCACTTTCTAGCTGTAGATGTTGATTTCACCTTTCCAGTCAGGCCAGGGGCCTAATAATTTAGCACTAGTATGTTTATGGTAAAGATGTTATAATGATGTACTTGATTATAAAACTACCAGATTAATAAGAAATTAACTAATTCTTTTTCACCTACATGTTTAACATAAACTTTGAACCCTAAAATTATGTTAAAGAATCAAAAAAGAAAAACCCTGGGTCCTGGTCATTCTTTTGTCCTTACCAACATTTCTTTTTCTTTGTAAAAATGATTTAAAGCAGCTTAAATATGAAAGGAATGTTCAAAAGTGGTGACATCATGGTTGATTAAGTAGGTGAAGTTGGTATCACCTGTTGGAAAGGTCTGACTCTCAACAGTTTCTCTGATTTCAGCATCCCAAAACCTTGGGCTTGTGTGATGTGCTTCCCTGAGCGTGGCCAGTGTTGTTAGTGATGAAGGCAAAATTTGTTATTATTGGAGGAAAACCACAAAAAGAAGCAGCCTCAATACTACTTTTGGGCCAGTCTGGACTGGTTAATTTCAGACACTCTTCCCCCTGCCCTCTCCCAGACCCAGGGACCTGAGGTTTAGCTGCCTGCCGTGCCATCTGAGGTATCTGCAGAGTCACCATTCCCAGTGGGGTGCAGGTGGCGCTCACCTCCACCCAGCTGTGCAGGCGTTCCTGGGTATGCCGGTCATCCTTGAAGCCAGCGATGGCCAGCAAATCCACCACAAACTGCTTAGGGCTGATGTGCAAGGCCTGCCAGAAGAGCCCACTGTCAGGCAGGGCTGGGGGCAGGTGCCTGACACATTTGCTCTCAGCCCCTCAGAGTGGGCTGCAGCGCAGGGCTTCCCTGGGCCGGCAGTAGCTGCAGGGACGAGTGGTCACTGTCACTCTGTACTGCCTCGGCAAAGGCTCGGTCCAGATGACACTGCTCTATCTTCCTGTTCCTGTTCTTGCCACCCTTCTGCCCCTGACCAACCCTCCCCCCGCTTCCCCTTCCTGGCTTGCTTCTTGCCTTGCACTGCTTGTTGTAGGGCAAGGGGACAGGAAGAGTAGGAACATGGCCCAGGGCCTGGCACGTACCCACAGCCGGTTGGCTAGGGAGACCACCTTGGCTGTGATGGCTTTGGGGTCCTTTTGTCTGATGGAATCCAGGATGATGTCAGTCAGGAAGCGGTGACATTTCTGTGCATAAAACATCTCTTCCCAGGACAGAGAGAAACTCAGGAAAGTCACCTCTGTGGAGGAGAGAGTGGATGTGGCCCCATCTGTCCACACCCAGGGCTGTAGAGGCAGCCTGCGGTAAGGGCTCATGAGGGAGACTGTCCCCCTGAAGGACCCCAGTGGGGCCAGGGCATCCCCACAAGGAAGCGCAGGCCTGGCTCCAGATCCTCACCTCGGGGCAGGGGGCTGGTGGTGGGCAGTGTGCGCCTCAGGATGTCTATCTGTGTGGTGTAGACGATGCTGTCCTCAAAGAACATACAGGAGCCATCACTGCCCACCACGGGGGGGTGGCTCACTTTGAGGATGACCCCTGCACTCTCTAGGTCACTGGCTTCAGGCAGAGGCTGCTCAAGAGCAGGGCTTTCTGTAAAAACAATGTGGGGAAAGGGTTTTTAAGCCATCTCAGAGCTCAAGCAGGGAGCGGACCTCTGGGGACAGGACCCCAACCTTCCCGCAGCTGCTGTCTCCCGCTTTCAGAAGTGGCACCTGGGTTGGCAGGACCTGTCTTGGCTCTCCTCTCTTCATCGCCCTGGAATCATTGCAAGCCAAATCCTGAATTTCAGAACTCCAAGAAATTCTCCAAATTTCTCTGTTTAACTAAGACTGATACCAAATAAGGCTGATAATAATCCAACCAGGGACTGGAAATCGTTGTAAAATTATAGAGTGAGCTTTTTGGGTGAGATTTGATGTATGTCCACTCTGAAAAGTATGCTTGACAGACCAACTTGGGGCTTACAGTCAAGGCTCAAGAAGGCCCCTCCAAGTAGGGCTCAAGCCACTAAAAGGGAAGGCGACAGAATATGTACAGTAGGAAGGACTTTGACGGAGCAGAGGGAAGAGTGGCAGTCAGCACACCTCCCTGGTCTGCTCTGCACCGCTCCACCAGACACAGCACACCTCTCCCTTCAGCTCCGTGTCCATCCCACCTCCGTAACCATCCACCTCCTTGCAGTCACCCAAGCCAGAAACCTGACCCCTGGGCCCGAATCCTTACTCCTGTCCTCCCTCATCCTATCTAGCCAGATTCATCCAGAATGACACTAACACTTCCCCTCCTGCTGCTGCATTTCCTATGCTTCTGGATGCAGCGTTCTGAATGCACACCTACGTGCTTGCTCCTTCGTTTAAAATACTGTAGTAGCTACCCACTCCTGTTAGGATCAGAACAAAGTGCCAGGTCCTGAACTTGGGCCCGAAGACCTGCTCTAATGACTTTGACTTCAATCTTATCTCCCATCCCTTCTCCTCTGAAGCCTGGCCTCCAGCTAGACAGATGACTTGGTTCCACAAGCACCAATGCTTCCCCTTCCTTCTTCTGCTGACTCTGCAGCCTCCCCGCCTCCTTTGTGCTCCATTATACCATAAGCACCCACTTCCCATATGCTTTCTGTGGTTTCTCAGCCCCTCAAGCCATGCCATTGTGTTGGTTATATATGTGTGTCTGCTGCTTGGCACAGCTGGCATGGGTGAGTGCAGGGTTCTAGTGCCCCTTTGTCACTCACTCACTCTGTGGCCTTGGTCAATGTTTGCTTTGCCTGTTGGAAATGAGACTTAGGTCAAGGACGGGACAGTACTCACCTCTCTCCCTTGACCTCTGCTTGCCCCAGTCCTTCAGAGTGACAGCTCTTTTCATGGGGAAGTATGGCTTAAACACTGGCTCTGGTCCTTTGTCTTTGGCTCCGGCTCCAGCCCCTGCCTGCAGACCTGGGTCCTTCTCTGAGACAGTGGAATGGCCTTTCCAGGAAGCTGAGGTGTTGGGCTGGGAGGCAGCGTCACTTCCCAAGGGGAGCTGCAGGGTGTCCTCCAAGGAGCTGCTCCGGGGAGCCGGCAGCGGCTGGAATTCCCGTTGTTTGCAATTGACCATGTCCCATTCCCTCACCAAGGAGATGAGTTTTTGCATCGGTGTGACAGGAGGATCTTTGGTTTCACATTTCTGTGTAAGGTTGACTGTGGCGGACTTCTTCTTGGGGGGACTTTCAGGGCAGGCACCCCAGTGTCTGGGGTTGGCACATAGGCTGGAACAGTGGGAGTATGTGCTGGGGTGGCCTGCTCGCTTGGCACCTCGGCACAGGGACATCTGGATGGTCTGGGGGTACTGCTCAGCCTCCTCCATTTGGCTGGACCTGGCCAGGGTCCCCCTGGCCTTGTTCCATGGAGTCCTGTCATTGCCGTCCTGGAAGTCCACAGGTGTGCAGGCTGCAGTCTGGGGAGGGAAGGCACAGCAGCTCTGGGCATGTTGTGCTTCCACATTGGAGCCTCCCCAAATCTAATAAGCCAGCCGCTGAGACTTGCTCACCCAGAATGATCCCATCCCCCATATGGTCATCCCTCTGAGCTTTGCAGTCTGAGTGGGGGTGGTGTTAGCCGAGGCCTCTTACACCCCAAAGGGACATGTTATCAACATCCCAGGCCACAGCAGCCAACACTTCCTGTGCCTCCTCCCAGGTTCAGAAGCCAGTTTCTGTGCTAGGAGCCCATGTAGGCCCTGCCCGACTCTGCTCCGTCCCTCAGTAGCAAAGCCTGCCCTGAGCTTTGTGGGAGTGTCCCTTGAGGACAACACCAAACCAAAGAAGGCTGGGCCTTACCTCTTTGGCATCTCTACTGAACTCCGCCATGGACTCTGGCCCTTCTGTCACCACATTCAGCTTTCTAATGGGAAAAGCTTCTTCATTTTCAGATTCTTTCTCCTGAGTCCATGACCTGCAGACTCCAGAAAGGATTC